CTTCTCCCTCATTGCAGTCACAACAGAGACATACAAGTGATCTGGGCTAAATTTATGGACATAATTGGTGATTTGAAGCTAGATTTTACATCTGAAGAGGGTATTCTTGAACTGCAAAGAAATATCAAATCATGGTTTGAGCACTTTCTCAAAGTTTACCAAGCAAAAAATGTCACTCCCTACATGCATGCACTATGTTGTCATGTTCCTGAGTTCCAGTCACTTTATCAGAACATAGCATATTACACACAGCAAGGCTTGGAAAAATACAATGATAGAGCTTCTAAAGATTTCTTCAGATCCACAAATCACAAAGGGGTTGATGCCCTCAAACAACTGTTTCTGAAGAAAAACAGGATTCAGTTCCTGGAGGCAGCAGGCTATGAAAGGGTTAAGAACACCTACAAATGCAATAACTGTTCAAACAAAGGCCACAACATCAAGACATGCACATCTTCATGCAAAAATTGTCCAGCTCCAATTTGCTGTGCACATCTTGTGAAGGAAGGTGGCAAATGGATTCCCAGATGCCAGCTTCAATATTAACCAGAGTTAGTTTAGTTTTAGTAAGTTTCGTTAGTTTTATGTAATAAAATATGTCATTTGGTTTTTGAGGAAGGATTTCCTGACCTGATCTTGCCTTAGTTTGATCATAATGTTACTCAAGATCAAAACATTTAATACTTCTAGTACCCTTAAATATCACCTTTAATTTCTTTGCCAAAATAGGTCATTTTACAGTTTATTCAGTAACCTGGCCCATGAATTAACTAGCCTGTATTAACACAAGAAAAGCAAAGGGGTTTGTATCAAAACAAGGTCACCAGCAACCTCGCTTCCAGCCATAAGCCAGGTAACTCAGCCACAACTGTAAAATAATATTGGAACTTTTGATTGTGAATCTCAAGTTTTTGGCCAAGATGCTATACAGTGTTTTAACAATGGATTGTTATTTCATCTGTTGGCATGGTAGTTGTTCCTGTTACCATCACCTCTCACAAACTGAAATGTAATTAAGTTGCTGTTTTCAATTTCTGTTCTAGCATATTGTTCCCCGATGAGCTTGTATTCAATGATTGGACTTCTTTGTCCCAGCCAATACTTAATAGTTCCTGGAATTACATAGGCAAAATCTCCAGCTAGATTTAAAATTCGTTCATCCCACTTCAGCCCCAGATATGAATCAAGCACCCTATTTGACTCTAATTGGTAAACCATCTTCCCTCTTTGAAGAACACCGGGCAAAAAACTCCCAAGACCTTCCATGAAAACATCTTGGTCAACATTAAGGTCTATGTTTATATCAGGGTCCTCTCGCCGTCCATACCAAAGCTTTTTCTTTATTTCACGAGCAAGTTGGCCATGGAACGATTCTTTTCTATCCTCTAGAGAGCTTTCCGATGGAATGAACAGCTTTTCGCTGCGAACAAACGGAAAATATCCTGATTCTCCATCGGCCCCAAAGGGTCTCCATTCATCGAAGCATGTGCTATAGCCAACGTAATGAATTTTCAACCTCTTGTTGATTTTGTCAACCTCCCTGATCTCAATATCATAGAGTTTTGTATCTTTCTTTCGTGGATTCGCCTTTCTAACGGGGGTTTATGTTGAGTATTCATTGAAAAATCGCTTTGCTTTTTTTATTTCCCTCTTTGGCCTGTCCGCCATTTTGAAAATTCGCAACGGAGAGCATACGTATTACGTGGGCAGAAATTTTTTTTGGGATCACTTTCTGAAGGAGCTTAGACACCAGGCTCAATTAGGCAACCAAGCCTTCTGATATTTAACAATTCTACCCTCACCTCCCCCGACTGGTAGAAGTGCGATTGGAGGGGGACGGGGAAGAAAACATTTTTGTTACTTGCGCGAGAAAAAACAAATGGGAAGTTATCTATTAACCCTATGTTTGTAATTTTCGCGGGAAAGAATATTACCTTATCTCGCTGCGCTCCGTTCAAATACGAATCTTCTGCCTTTGGCTAAAACACGCTTCTTCGTGAATTCTAAACACTACTCACGATCAAATGGAACCAAAGGGAATTTCAAACCTTGGAAATACTTGCCTCTAAATAGTGTCTTACAAGCTCTGCTCTCGGTGACATGTTTTTTCCGAAGGACTTGCCGGATTGCAGCACAATCGCAAGAAGTGCACCTCATCGAGTACAGGTCTTGAAAGTGTATTCAATTTTTAGAAAAATCCCAGCAGGCAAACAACATTAACCTTTCGGTGAACTGCGTAATTGAACCAAGCACTTTTTTTAATGGAATACAAAATTTGTCATAAGTGTAGTAATCCGCTTATTTATTCTTGACATTAAGCTTATTTCGACTTAATAAAGCAATTGGTATCAATCAAACGAAAATACTTATTTGACAACTTGATAATCTTGTTAGAACGTCATAGGAAATTGTACCTTTAAAGAAGCTACAAGTAAAATCTGTAAGGCCTTTTCACTGTTTAGAGCGGTAAATTTATATTAACCGTGGAAGCTTTGCACGTCTTAGTTATTTCCTTGATTATTTTTATGTATCTTTCTTTCGTGGATTCGCCTTTCTAACGGGGGTTTATGTTGAGTATTCATTGAAAAATCGCTTTGCTTTTTTTATTTCCCTCTTTGGCCTGTCCGCCATTTTGAAAATTCGCAACGGAGAGCATACGTATTACGTGGGGTTAGTGGTCGCGTACAACTGGAACCGAGAAAAACAAATGTTCGTCGCGCTGGGGAAAGAGTTTGATATGATCACAATTAATGGAATTTAAAATTTAGCTTGAAATCTCACACAAAGTGGCGAAGGCGAATCCATACGAAAATTTCAGCCGAATTAGGTGTTCTCCTTGAACTGTAACTTGTAAGATTGATGATCTTTGGCTCCAAATGAAACCAGGAGAAAGTGAAAACTGACACAAACAAAGTTTGTTCAGTTGTGACGCAAAAAGATTTCATTTCAGCCCGCCGCTAAAAAATTACAACAAACACGGGTACCCCTGAATGACCTTTGCATTCAGCCAAGCATAAATGAACTACTATTAAACTGAAACGCTGCTTGTAGTTGTAAAAAACACTCACGCAGCAAGTACAATTATGACGATTATCTTCCTTCATCGTTTATTAAATTCCTTAAATTCCTGCACTTCGTGAACAATGCAGGAGAGGTCATCGTGCTTCCTTTAAAATTTATTTTGGGGGTCCTATTTTTCATCTATGAACTGAAAGATTACAAAAAATATCAAAGAAAATGTCTCGTAAATTTTTGCTTCAAGTTGACTGAAAATGGCTGACCGAGTTTTTACTCTGGCGTCCACGGGTGTTCTGTAATTCATTTTGGAGACCGAAGTTCAAGATTTTAACTAATGGTAAGAAACAAAATGACTCTGCTCGGTAGAGGAAGTAAGATGCCGAATTTTCCACGTATCAAACCGTAAAAACGAGCATTTTTCCTCGTGAGCTGATATTGGACCAGCATGTGGTTTTTATTTTCCGTTTTCAGATCGCGACCTCTTCACAACGAATGTCGTATAAACTTGCCGAAGTTTCATACTCGTGTGACTAGAAACGAAAAACCTTCCGAAACAAGATATAATAAAGTTCACATGGCAACCTGGTGGATAATCAGGTATGGTTTGATGCTACTCAGGTTTAAAGATTTAATGAATGTAACCGAGAAGTTACGAAACAGCCAGCTACGTCACACCTTATGCATATTGAAAATAGACCTTACCTTCCAAGATAAGTTTGTCATTTGTAATCTAATTCAATCTTCTTCATTCTTTGCCATCCGTGTTTCTTCTTGATTTATCAACGCCCCTCTTTCTTTTTTCTATCATACCAAATAATACATCGTAGTGTTCATTACAACGAATGCCGTTAATTTTGGTGCAAAATCTGACGAGAATTGTGATCGTGTGACGAGAATATTGTTCCTATGCAACCTTTCGGCAAGTAAGACACAGCACAACACGCTCTGGACTTTCTGGAAACGCTGAAACCTCAATAAAATCGAAAGAAAAAATCTCGCAACATCCCGAATCCCTTCGAGAGAATAATTATTTGAAAATTCAAATAATAAACTCGAGCACTTCGCAGAGATAAAAGGGTTGATTACCTGAAATACATTTACCTGACATTTGTGAATCAGGCGGTGTGCGTACTCCGATGGCGTTCAATATGGCGATGAAAGCGGCAGAAATCGGCAGATTTTTAACGAACATTCCGTAAAAGTTGAGCAGTTCCTTTCTCCTCTCACTATTGGTAAATGTAATTTTATTTATTCTGAATGTGTAAAAGTATTTTTTGTACGTATTTGTTGCGTATTCTATGGTTCTCAAGGACAAACGCAATCAGTTTTTAGTATGTCGTGTGAGACCAGTTCTCGACAAGGTCAAATTTGATGTACGTCGTAGTTTGAAGCCTTTCAAAGATTTGGATGGCCGCTTTGATCCTTCTTCAACAGCTCTGACCAAACGCTCTCCAACGGCATTTTTTAAGTGCTAGTGTTTGAGCTTTCTGAATCTGCTATTTGTTTGAAGTTTCCACAGCGAAGCCAAAATTGCGAACTTGTGATTGGCGCATTAGGGGATTGTTTCCCCTATTTTTAGGATATTTGCAATGTAAGCTAATTCATCGGGGCAAATCGAATGATAGGTAATCATTTAATTAGGTAATCTAAACTGAAAACAAGCCTTATTAGGAAAACCACAACTGAACAGGCGAGACGAACGTGCTTCGAAGCATGAAGATCATAAAAAAAAAAATTAAATTCAAAATAAAAAAACCCCGAGAATAGTTACTTAGTCTTGAATATACATAATAGATAGATATATGTAGGAAATTGTAAGTCCAGACGTTTTGTTTCTGGACGTGTTTCTTTCTTAATAAATATCTTTATTATTGTTATATGACATATGGTAATGACTTCCTGTACACAAAGACGGCCGATAAAAATTTAAAAATTGTGAAATCCGGACGTGACGTCGCATGCAAATGCTCAGTTCTGCTTGCGTCGTCCTATTAGTTGTTGTTATCTGCTGTATGATCAAACTCTACAACATGGTAAAAATCATCCGACCATCAGGGAATGAAAGAGCTCGTGTGGAGTACGCCAGAGAGAATCAGAGAGCCTTACCAGTAGAGAGGGAACCCACAGTTTCTTTTCCTCGAGTTGAGGAAAGCGCAAGACAACGTTTTACATGTAACAATACAACCTACGGCGGATTACAAGCGATACGACGACAGCCACAAATGCATGACGAACGTTTTAGGGGGCAACGTAAGAAAGATTTACTTTGTCTTATACAAAACTTGAAAGTTAAGTTTTTCTTTTTTCTTCGCTTCCTTGAACTATTTTGTGTTTTGTTTTCTTTCTTGGCTTTTCACGAAAGCCGAGAGTTTCCTTCCGGCGGAGGTTGGGAGCCAAAATAACAACTCGTGCCAGCAATCCAGCGAAAATTTAAAAAAATATGTACTTTTCTATTTACCGTACACGTTCAATAAGAATACTGCTCAGAGGGTACTTGAAATCAAGATGTTGTTAAGCATATTCTTTTATTGCTGTTTCCTTAACGTTCGTAAATTTCACCATATTCAGAGCTACAGTGTACCACTGAAGACGCCGTGGACTTGCCTGAGTAGGCTTACTAAGGTAAAAAGGTCTTTAAGATATCATAGCCTTGAGATTACATGCTTTTTACATTGTGCCATTAATTCGGAAGATCCTCAAAATCAAAGTTCCTTTCTCTTATCACTTCGGCCGATAAGATTGTGTCTTTACTACATCTCTATGCAGTCTTACACTACAACAAAACCACTGGAAGTATATACAAGTACATTTTCATTTTCTGTGCTCTGAATAGACACGACAAATCGTTCCTGGAACCCCTCGGTGTTCTTTCTGTACGGTAGGATTTACGCACAATTGTGTACCTCTTTCCATCCAAAGTAGGTGTAATGTTTTTCGTTTTCGGCTAAGTCACTTCAAAGTTTTCATTTCGTTTCTTCGTCTGGTCAACCTTCCAAAAACGCACGAGTATATCTGCAAATTTTGTTGGTCTGGTTAAAACAAAGGCCACTGTTAAGTCACATTTACTGCATGTCTTCTTTCGCTAACTGGAAATTCATTCTTTTTAACAGATTTCCACAAATTTTCCGCGTTCCTGTGGTGAACTGGCTTTCTCCAGGGAAAGTGAATGACATTGTGTCGATGGACAACAGTGATATATTTTTTTAATATGAAAAACGGCCTATACTTTATACTTAATACTCATGCATATACTTTACAATTGAAACTGTGTTTAAAACGGCCGATTTGAGAAAAAAAGTCTGTGTACAAATAAAACTAGATGGCCCTAAAAACAGTAACTAACTGCGTTGGTTTATTTGTGTTTTCCTCTCGAGATAATGTAATTTGTATTGCTTGCGGTCAGACGCGCGACTTCACCCACAGGATCGAATTGAATAAAACTATGACACCATACTTGTTCCTCCGGCACTTGATCTTGGCTCTATGCTTGAAAATAAAGAACAATTTGCAGATTAAGGCTTTTGTCAGCGAAGCAATTTAAGACCAAAGCAGCTTGCTTGTTGGCCACCTCTCTATTCAGGCGCCTTTGAAAACATTGACGAAGCTCGAACACCTTACCCAGTAATGATTGCTGAGACCTCAAATCGAACAGTTACTAGAACTGAATCATCCTTGTGAGTGGAGCGCAGTTCTTTTTATTTGCGGCGGAACAATTTAAGACCAAAGCAGCTTGCTTGTTGGCCACCTCTCTATTCAGACGCTTTTGAAAACATTGACGAACCTCGAACACCTTACTCAGTCATGATTGCTGAGACCATCAGTTCGGCTTGCTTCGTTGTATTGGTGGTTGTTTTCTGCTGTATGATCAAGATCTACACCATGGTAAAAAACATCCGACCCTCACGGAATGAAAGAGTACGTGTGGTGTGCGCCAGAGATAATGAAAGAGCCTTACCAGTAGAGAGGGAACCTACAGTTTATTTTTCTCGAGCTGAGAGAAGTGCAGGACAACATGGTACCTGTAATAATACAACATACAGCGGATCACAAGCGAGACGGCGACAACCGCAAACAAAAAATGTCCGGGGGTTTCAGTACAACTCGAAATTTTTTTTTGTCCTTACAACCTGTAACCATTCAAGCTGTATATTATCATTTGTTGTCTTTCTTGACTTGATGTGATATTGTGTTCACCATTTTCACGGAAGTTTTCGTCTCGAATTCATCACAGGCAACTGAAGAGTACTGGACCAGAAACGAATTCCAAGTGGCAAGTGGTGAACATTTACCGAGCCGTGAAGCAGCGTGGTAAAGAGATGATTTTAACTCATTATTCTTATAACGATTACACAATATTTTCGGGCGCAAATCGCGCGTGAAATGCTTAAGAGAGTGTCTCTGTAAGAGCGGTCTGGTCGATTTTGCTTGAGACACGGATTTCGCTCGTTTCTCGTGTGTTGTAAGACATTCATGTACCTATACTAAAACCACAATCAGTTTGATCGGATCTCTTTATTTTTCAGAGTTTAACGGAAATTAAATTTCACTCGAGCGAAGGCTTGTCGTGACACTTTCCAAGACTTTAATTTCATACAACTTTGGAGGACAATTTACAAAAAACTACGGAACTCAGCAAAAAACAAATACCACAGCCATGTATATTAACTCTATCTTATCTATCGAGGCGACTTTCGAAAACATCACGTATCAATCAAGGAAACAGGAAGACTTGAATGACACCTTATCGGTTCGCCTAAATCAAACACGCCAAAACCGATCAAATTCAAGGTAAATTTTTGAAAAAGTGAGGCGTTCTTAACTGATCCAACTAACATAGCTAGGAAGTAGGCGCCATAGAAAAGATAACTACAGAAAAAAACTTTGCGGCCCGACCTTTACGAGAACTTTATAACTCCGTGAACTTACCTAATTTTCGGCAATCTCCACGTTTGGCCGCCATTTTGAGGGACTTGTCAACATGAAGCGTAACCGATATAAATCAAGCAGGTTAATCTAAAACCGTCAGAAATATATAAGAAAGCAATTCAAATGAACTTTTCTTTCAATTCAAGCGGCAAAATTTGAAATTGTTCGTTAAACTTACCATCCCCATGCGACCATTTATTCCAACAATACAAACACTACAACTTTCTGAATTCCCCTCGTCGATTCCACCACAAGAAATAACCTGTGCCACCCAAGCTTCGACTCGAATGTGAAGTACGAATCAAATAACATAACTGCTTCATCTTTGCGGCAATATCACGCTGGTATTTTGATTTTCCGATCGACAAGAACGGCGATCAAGAATCGATCGGTTTGTTTACCTCGTAAACGTGACTGCTGACCAGCTGCTGAGTGAAAACAGTACGGTTCAGTGGCGAGGAGCGGGGTGAGGGGTGGATGCGGGCAGATTATCAGAAGGTTTTTGGGAACATTCGATAAACATTAGGATTCTCAGTCTTAATGCGAAGGCATACTTCGTGTTGCAGACAACTTTTGTTTTACTTAATATTCTTTTTTATTTCAAATACACTTCGTTCCAAATAGGACTAGCATCAGTTCATAGATTTAAAAACAAATCTTTACTACGTAAATAAATGTGTTTAGATAATCGTATGACGCGCATGACTATGTAGATAATTCTGTTACAGAAACCATACTAGTGCCAGGCAAAAATGTGCTTATGCAATTATAGTTCTCCATTACGATCATCCTCTTCTCTCACGGCGCCGCGTTTTTTATCAAATATCTGTCAGAACACCGTAAATTAGAGCCGGGAAAGGTCAGAAAAAGGTTCGATTTACTATTACTGACTTACTTTGGCCTCGATACCTCGTGCATTTTAGGAATGTCGAATTTGTGTTAAGATATATAAATGTTTCATTTTACGTCTGTTTGATTCCGGTTTATTTCTCTTCATCATATACATGCTTAATCCATTGATTTACATCCACTTAATTATAACGATCTCACAACAGCTTGAGCGTCAGCGAAGTAAACAAGCCTCTATGACGCAAAGAAGTCCATCTCTAGTGCAGGACACCTATGTTAGCGAACTTGACTTGGGCTGCTTGATTAATGGAATGCAATATCACAATCAATGGAATTTAAAATTTAGCTTAAAATCTCACACAAAGAGGCGAAGGCGAATCCATACGAAAGTTTCAGCCGAACTAGGTGTTCTCCTTGAATTGTAACCTCTAAGACTGATGATCTTTGGCACCAAATGATACCAGGAGAAAGTGAAAAACTGGCACAAACAAAGTTTGTTCGGTTGTGACTCAAGCAGATTTCATAGTAGCCCGCCGCTAAAATTAAAATAAACACGTGTACCCTTGAATGACCTTTGCATTCAGCAAAGCATAAGTGAACTACTATTACGCTGAAACGCTCCTTGTAGCAGTAAAAACACCCACGCAACATGAACAATTATGACGATTATCTTCCTTCATTGTTTATTAAATTCCTTAAATTCCTGCACTTCGTGAACGATGCAGGTGAGGTCATCGTGCTTCCTTTAAAATTTATTTTGGGGGTCCTATTTTTCATCTATGAACTGAAAGATTACAAAAAATATCAAAGAAAATGTCTCGTAAATTTTTGCTTCAAGTTGACTGAAAATGGCTGAGCGAGTTTTTACTCTGGCGTCCTCGGGTGTTCTGTAATTCATTTTGGAGACCGAAGTTCAAGATTTTAACTAATGGTAAAAAACAAAATGACTCTGCTCGGTCGAAGAAGTAAGATGCCGAAGTTTCCATAGCGAAGCAAAAATTGCGAACTTGTGATTGGCACATTACGCATGACGTAGTCAGTTGATTTCTCTATCTTGAGAATATCTGCAATCAGGCGGTGTGCGCACTCTGATTGCGTTGCATCATGGTCGTAAAACGAAAAATAAGTCATTTGCATCCTGTCGTGGTCGAGTGAACATCTCTGGTAGCAGTAAGATAGCGTGAATAAACGTGGAATTTAATGGAAATTCACTGTCTGTTGCCGCTCCTTGGAAAGTTAAAAAGTGTTTGCGGGCCTGTGCGACTCCTGTTATTCCTCCTTGACATATTTGTTGTTAGGAGGCAATCGAAGAGATTCAGAAAGAATCGAAACTGCAGTCTTGCCCGAGAATCTATTTATTTGACAGCAGTTACACACACAGCCGATGGCTGTGTGAATAATATCAAATTCGCGAGTTATTTAACAGGGAATCGTCCCTTGACATGCAAACGCATTCCCAAGAGGCAGCGACCTTCTAATACACGAACTGTTTTCCATGTCATACACTTAAAGGCGTGGACACGGGATTCGCGAAAGGAGAAGCCTTCCGCCTCCTAATACCAAATTCGTCGCGCTCAACGTTTATTAAAAAAGGTACAGAGTTTCAAATATGCTTAAGGAATAGAGAATACTAAGAATAAGGTTTGGACAAACCGCAGCGGCACTCCATAGCACTAGTTAATCCAAAATACTGACACACGTGGGTGATTTGACATATGATAATAAGCCTCTTACACAAAGATGGCGGATAAAAATTTAAAATAACTAACCCTTAATATCACATCGGAAACGGAAGTCATTAAAAGATATCCTAATAACAGCTAAGCTTTCAGGTTAGAAGATTTCAAAGAGCAAGCGAATGGCAGGAGTCGCTCAAGCTATCAACACCTTTTAACGATTGACTACCTTTTGCTTTCCGGCTTACACGGTGTGTCGCCATGCGCGTTGTAGAGTTATCCGTTGGTCAAGTGATTCCGTTCATAGCTCAAATTCAACTGTCCTTCATCCAATGATGAAGATAGTAGATTTACCATACAACACTCTCGATAAGTTAATATCCTCTTACTTAGGAAAGTACATAATAGTAACGCTGTGTAACGCAACAATAAGCCTTTTCTCGGCCATAACCGGTCTCAAACACCCGCACTTAAAATGCGAGAAACACATGTACCGTTGGAGAGCGTTTGAGAGCGTTTGGTCAGAGCTGTTAAAGAAGGATCAAAGCAGCCATCCAAATCTTTGAAATTTGACCTTCTTGAAATCCGGTTTCAAATTACATACAAAAAAAACAGTGATCGCGTTTGTCCTTGAGAACCATAGAATACGCGACAAATATGAACGAAAAATACTTTTACACGTTCAGAATAAATCAAATTACATTTACCTATGGTGAAAGGAAAAAGGAATGGCCTAACTTTTACGGAATGTTCAGACAAAATCTGCCGAATTCTGCTGTTTTCACCGCCATATTGAAGTGAAGCTACCACAATGCAACGCAATCGGAGTGCGCACACTGCCTGATCTGCAATGTAAGCTAATTCATCTTGGCAAATCGAACGATATATAACTCCCGCTGGGTCTCTTCCAAAACAAAGGTAATTTAAACTGAAAACAAGCCTTATCAGGAAAACCACAACTGAACAGGCGCGGCAGAACATACTTCGAAGAATGAAGATCTCGCAATCTAATCTGCAGGGCGCTAAGGCAAACGTGTTGCGTTGAATTGTTTATTTTGCCCATGTCTGTCACGTAAGGGCTCTAGTATTTCAGGAAACGCTAAACCTTAATAAAATCGATAGAAAAAATCTCACGACATCCCGAATCCGTTCAAGAAAATATTTGTTTTAAAATTAAAAATAAAAAAACCCCGAGATAAAAGAGTTGAAATACATTTACCACACCTCCCCAGAACCACTCACGATAACGCTTGACATAGCACTAGTTAATCCAAAATACTGACACACGTGGGTGATTTGACATATGATAATGAGCCTCCCGTACACAAAGATGGCGGATAAAAATTTAAAAATTGTGAAATCCGGACGTGACGTCGCATGCAAACCAAGAATTCCTAAGTTCAGCTAGACTAGAATAAATCCTTATTTCACAGAAGAGCAATTGCTGACGAACCTGCTTCCTGTACACAAACATGACCGGTAAAAATTGTAAAATCCGGACGTCACGTCGCGTGCAAACCAAGAATTCATAAATTCAGCTAGACTACAGTAAATCCTTATTTCGCAGAAGAGCAATTACTGACCAAACCTGCTTGCATGTTGCCCTATTTCTATTTGGACGCCTGTAATAGTATCGAAGCTGAAGCTTATTCTCCAGTCATGATCACCGAAATGCTCTGTTTTGCTTGCGTCGTCCTATTGGTTGTTGTTATCTGCTGTATGATCATACTCTACAACATGGTAAAAATCATCCGACCATCAGGGAATGAAAGAGCTCGTGTGGAGTACGCCAGAGAAAATCGGAGAGCCTTACCAGTAGAGGGGGAACCCACACTTTCCTCGAGTAGAGGAAAGCGCAAGACAACATTGTACATGTAACAATACAACCTACGGCGGATTACAAGCGATACGACGACAGCCACAAATGCATGACGAACGTTTTAGGAGGCAACGTAAGAAAAATTTACTTTGTCTTATACAAAACTTTAAAGTTAAGTTTTTCTTTTTTTCTTCGCTTCCTCGAACTATTTTGTGTTTTGTTTTCTTTCTTGGCTTTTCACGAAAGCCGAGAGTTTCCTTCCGGCGGAGGTTGGGAGCCAAAATAACAACTCGTGCCAGCAATCCAGCGAAAATTCACAAAAAGACATACATATACTTTCTATGTACCGTACATGTTCAATAAGAATACGGCT